CAGCGCCACTTCCGGTTTTTATTCTACTTATGTAGTGCTGAGGAATCGAACCCAGGGTCTCATGAATGCAAGGCAAGCGCTCTACCACTGAGCCACCTTCCCAGCCCCTGGGCCACACTTTCAATCCTGTTCTCTCTCTGTCTCTGTCTCTGTGTCTCTCTGTCTCTGTCTGTCTGTCTGTCTGTCTTTCTTTTGTGCCTGGGGTTTGAGCTCAGGGAAGGCTAGTGTTCTAACACTTAAGCCACAGCTCCACTTCGGCTTTTTGGTCACTAATTGGAGATAAGAGTCTCAAGAATTTTCCTGTTGGGGCTGGCTTTATACCTTGATCTTCAGATCTCAGCTTCCTAAGTAGCTAGGTTCAGGAGTAAGCCTACAGCCCTTGACCCTGCTCTCCTCCTTTTTCCTTCTTTCTTTCTTTTTTTTTTTTGTTGTTGTTGTTGGTCATGGGGCTTGAACTCTGGGCCTGGGCACTGTCCCTGAGCTCTTCAGCTCAAGGCTAGCACTCTACCACTTGAGCCACAGTGCCACTTCCAGTTTTCTGAGAAGTTTATTGGAGATAAGAGTCTCACAGACTTTCTTGCCTGGGCTGGCTTTGAACTGCGATCCTCAGATCTCAGCCTCCTGAATAGCTAGGATTACAGGTGTGAGCCACCAGCGCCAGGCCCTGCTCTCCTCTTAATGGCAGTTTTAACAAGCATCTGAAAAAGGAGCACAGAAGATGCCTGGAGCTTACTAGACTAGACTGGGTACAGAAGGAAGGCCCTGCTTGGAGTGCTTGGGGAGGGAGAAAGATGTGAGAAAAGAAGACAATGGGCCAAATCACTTATATGACTTAAACCTATTTGGAACCCTCCACTCTCACCATTCCACTGGACTCCAGGGAAGAACATAGGAAACTGAGTCATTGGGTGGGTAGCACAGAAGTGAGTCAGCTCGGGAAAGATAGAGATGGGAGGGGCAGGCCAGGCAAACTGCCCCATCCCCAAAGGCAGCTCAGCTTCTGATTTTTCCACGGAAAGGAATGAGAAATTGAACTTGGATTTTCTTTTTTCTTTTTCTTTTGGTCAATTGTGGGGCCTGAACTCTGGGCCTAGGCACTTGAGTCAAAGCACCACTTCCAGTTTTCTGCTTGTGTGGTGCTGAGGAATCGAATCCAGGGCCTCATGCATGCAAGACAAGCGCTCTACCACTGAGCTACCTTCCCAGCCCCTGAACTTGGACTTTCTTTCAGTCCCAAGTGCCAGTTGCCAGTTGCCAGTCTTGTAAGGGTGTTCTCTCTCTCTCTCTCTCTCTCTCTCTCTCCTCCCTCTCTCTTTGTGTACCCACGTGTGTGCAAGTACTAGGGCTTGAACGAAGGGCCTGAGCTGTCCCTTAGCTTTCTCCACTCAAAGCTAGTGCTCTACCACTTGAGCCATACCTTCACCTCTAGCTTTTTGTTAGTTAACTAGAGATTAGAGTCTTGCAGATGTTCCTGCCCATGCTGGCTTTGAACAGAAAGCCTCAAATCTCAATCTCCTGCATAGCTAGGACTATAGGCCTGAGCGACCAGTGTACAGCTTAGGGGTTCTCTTATAAAGAGTGACCTGGGATCTGGGCAGGTTGAAGAAAGGCAATTTGGAGTGTGGTTATGGTTGGGTCTCTAATCTACGGATTGAGGGACAACATCTAAGAAGAATAGGTGACCTTGAGGAAGAGGAATAAGAGGATTGGGCTGGGAAGGTGGCTCAATGATATAGCGCTTGCTTTGCGTGCATGAGGCCCAGGGTTCAATTCCTCAGCACCACATAAGCAGAAAAATCTGGAAGTGGCACTATGGCTCAAGTGGTAGAGTGCTAGTCTCGAGCTGAAGAGCTGAGGGTCAGTGCCCAGGCCCAGAGTTCAGGCCCCATGACTGGAAAAAAGAAAAGAAAAAGAGGATTACAGAGGAAAAGTACTATTGGGGTGAGAGTAGAATGCAGATGGGAACTTGTCTCAGGTAAGGAGATGGACTCCCTTTAGGAGTTCTCATATTTAATTTTACAGCTGGGGTAAAGTCTAAGCAGTACATGTTTCCGATCTCTGGGTTTCCTACCTCTGAATTTGTTTTTCACCCTTTTCCAGGCCTGGGCTATCCCTATGTCCCTCAGAAACTCTCTCCAGAGCTAGGAGCAACCTGTAGCTTGGCAACTTTTCCCTCACTTCGTGCTCCTATGTAATCTGCCTCAGCCCATCCTGGTTCAGGATGAAATCCAGATGCTGCTGGAACCACTGTGGTTGATCTGGGCTGGGCCACAGGACTAGAAAAAAAGAGATTCCCATTGCAGTACACCCAAAGTAACCACATTTCAAGCCTGCGATGGGTGGGCTGAGTCACAGCAGGGTCACAACAGGGACACACATTCCAGTTGGGTCCCAGTTGACCCCCTCTATTTCCATTGCCCTCCTGCCCCATCTCCCTGGCTTAGTGCGCCCTCTTCTGGTCTCTGGTAGAACAGCTGGCTTTTTCCACCGTAAGCCGAATGCCTTTAAATAAACCATAGCGCTTCATGGTTCTTGGAAATTTTGCCTCCTAAAATGCTTCTCCCTTGTAATCCTTAAAATGACTTTGGAGAGCTGGGTGCTAAGGGCTCACACCTGTAATCCTAGCTATTCAGGAGACTGAGATCTTTGCCTCAGGAAAGTCCATAGGCAGGAAAGTCCATGAGACTCTAATTTCCAGTTAACCAATAGAAAGCCAGAAGTGGAAGCTGTGGCTCAAGTGACACACTGACACACACACACACTTACTCTGGAGAGTGTTATTAGGAAAAGTAATAGTAATATAACTGTTTCTTACAGAGAGAAATTGTGGCCAGGATAAGGTCACAAAGGAATCAGATTCTAATGCCCATCTCAGCTTCTCCTAATCCATAAGACCCTCTGTCACTCCCACTTCAAGTATGTGGGGAGGGCAGGCTGGTCTTTGGCACCTGCTTGATTCCTTGCTTCCCCATCCTTCTACATCCATAGGGGAGAATCCTAAGGAGAGTAAACCCCACCGAGGTGCAACCCGCTCACAGGACATGAACCGCAGAGACCAACAGAGGAACCCAGAGGCCTCCAGCACTTCCTCCAGGGCCAATCCTGGGGGTGTCCAAGACACTGAGATGGTGCGTCCAGGGCTGGGAAGGGAATAAAAGGATCGGAATTTCTAGAGATTTTCACTAGAGACTTCCACCTCTCTGTGGACTTAGAGAAGTCTCCAATGCCAGTCCTAGCACTGAGCTGCCCATTCTCCCTCCAGGGCCCCTGCCGCAGACATCTGGATTCAGTGCTGCAGCAACTCCAGACAGAGATCTTCCGGGGGGCTCAGCCCCTCTATGTGCCTAATTGTGATCACCAAGGCTTCTACCAGAAACAGCAGGTAAGACAACTCCTCCATTCCCAGTATAAGGTTCCTGCCAGGGAATGGGGAGGGGAGGACTGCCTTATAAAGTTGCATAAAGATGACTGTCCTTGGGGGCTGGACTGGGAATATGACTTAGTGGTAGAGTGCTTGCCCAGCATGCATGAAACCCTGGGTTCAATTCCTCAGTATCACATAAACAAAGCCAGAAGTGGTGCTGTTGTTCAAGTGGTGCTGTTGTTCAAGTGGTAGAGTGCTAGCCTTGAGCAAAAGAAAAACTCAGGGATGGAGCACAGGCCCCGAGTTCAAGCCCCAGGGTTGCAAAAAAAAGAAAGAAAAATAAAGAAAGAAGGAAAGAGGGGATGGGAAGGTGGCTCAGTGGTAGAGTGCTTGCCTTGCATGCATGAGGCCCTGGGTTCGATTCCTCAGCACCACATAAACAGAAAAAACTGGAAGTGG